TTGCTTTGTTCATCAAGCCAAACTGCTAAAGTGTGTACTTTTATATTATTCTGCTCTCTGTTTCTGCCTTGCCCTTTGGCTTAGCTCTCTTACTGGTAAAAGGCTGATTATGTACATGATTATGGTGTGGTAGTAAGGTTTTATTAGTTACTCTTAACTTGTACTACAGATTGTACTTGTGTCTGTGTAGTTGATATTTCTTCTTCTGATGGATTTGGCTGCAACTTCTGAAAGATCTAATAATCTGTTCAACTTTTGTGATGTGAAGTTAGATTAGTTAGATTGTTGTTCTCTGAAGTTAAACATCATACTGGTTTCAGGGATGAATCACTGCTTTGCCAAGGCCTGGCTTTGAATGATGACTTGCAGAGAGTGCTTGCAAAGCATGAAGCTATTTCTTCGGGAATAAAAGTACCGCAAGAGAACTCGAAACCTGAATCTAGTAAAGGGCTCGTAGATGTTGATGCTCCTTTGGTTGATACAGGAGAAAGCAGCAAACAAACTGATGGAAGGTACGTCTGCATTGATTGTATAATTCTGAATTATATTGTCTGTTTGGCTTAACTAGTTAGTAGTTATGTTTCTCGGTGTTTACAATTTGTGTAAATGGCTTGGCCCAAACTTTGTATAGAGAAATTAACTGACATGTCTATGTTTGTTGTCGTCACATTGCTTGTGCTTGGTATTGTGATTTATCTGTATGCAGCGGATGGGGCTTAGACAATAAATGTTAACACAATGGGCCAAAGTTGTCTGACTAAGTTGACCAGGTCAGCTGGGAACCTATTGAATATTGGGTGTTAGGGGCCAGGAAATTCCTGTCAAGCATGGGTTAAAAACAAGGTTTAGACTGGGCTACTTGGTCTTGTGTAAAATACTAGTTTTAAATGCTGTAGATTGTTAGAATGGCTGGGATGCTTCAGAAATGTTCTTGGTATTTTTTGACATTCCCATGTGCATATATCAAGTTTTGAGTGTGTGACCACTGACAGAGAGTATTTTTGAAGTATATCAGACACTGTAAAATTATGTTTTGACCAATCATATCCTGCTATTGATTGAAGGACTTAACTTCTGGATAACTTGTACTCCCTCCGTTCCTGAAAGTTCGACTCACTTTGCATTCGCACGGTCTCCAATGAACATCTTTGACCATTAATAAATTCGGCTATGTATAAGTAAAAATTTTAAAAAGTTGATATTTGAAAAATTTATCATTAGGGGAATCTCATAAGATCAAATTTGTTAATTTATTTTGATTGTATAAATCATAAAAGGTGGTCAAAGTTATTTTTACCACATGAATAGTAAGTGAGTCGAATTTTCAGGAACGAAGGTAGTATAAATAATTAGAATTTCGCCCATCTTATGTAAATTGCTTTTTTGGGATAAGTTGGAATAAATATATAATTATTCTAACTTTTTTAGCTCGTTTAAGGGCTATCTTGAGGAGTGTCATCATTTGGGAATTATGAAATACAGCACCTAAAATTGTGATCAACTGAACTAATCGTTCGCTTCCAATAATTAATCAGTTAATGATACACCTCTTCCATCTCCCCCTAGTTTGGCATAGACTAGTGGTAGAACCAATTTTTTGAGGGTAATAATGAGCTAGGGACCTCCAATTCAGCTTTACAACTTTTTTAAGGTGCTTCTATGCTCATTGGGTAGTTGGGTTATAGATGATTTTACTACCTGATTCAAATTGAATACTCCATATTGTTTGTATAACAACCTGCGTTTTTTCAGGTGATATTTTTGACCATTAATCTCTCAAATATAATGGCTACATTTTAAAAATACTAATTTTCATACTTCCTCCGTTTTTTTAATATTGCACCACTTGCTTTTTAAGGAAGATCACAAATATTGCACCATTTCTATTTTAGGAAAAGAAATATTTGTGTTCACACTACAAATACCAAATATACTCTTACTTTTCAACACTTGATTTTTTAGTTTATGTATACCATTACATGGGCAATCTTGTATTTTTACCTTTCTCTCTCATCCTTGTTTCCACTACCAAAAATCTTGTGCCCAACTCTTATTGTGCAATAAAAAAAGAACTGAGGAAGTATCATTTAATTCTTGTTGAGATCATTACTTGAAATTTGAAAGAATTTAACGGAAATGTTTTTTGAACAATATGGGCTAGATATCAAAGTAAAAATTGAATTAATGTTGATGGAATAGTAAGGTAGTAAGCTAGGCCAAAAGTGGTGGATAGTATTTTGGTTTATTTTGTGAGAAGCTCCAAAATCCAAATTAAACCAAGAGTTTGGCTATGAGCATTTTTATTTCCGGTATATCTACATTTAATAGGATAGTTGACCATGGTATTGGTGACTTTGCCATAAGCTCACATGCATCACTGATTCACTCTAAATGTAAAAGTATTGAGCAACCCATTCAAATTACATTTTACATTTAATTATTAATAACTTATTTTCTACTCATTTTTTTTTTCTCATCGATATTATTTTGTAGCTCTGCCTCAGGTGCAACTCCTCCAGCTTCCCAAGCAAATGGCTCTGTAGCCACAACGGACAAAGCATTGTCCAAAATTGACCTCCTGAGTGGTGATCTTTTAGGTGATGATTTTAGTACTCCAACTGCACAGGACTCGTTGGCTCTAGTTCCGGTGTCTGCACCTCCGCCTTCAAGTCCTATTCCTTCTGAGCATAATGCTTTAGCTCTTGTCAACATGTTTTCGATGGACAACACTCCAGAATCCTCAAATTCACAGCATGCCTTTTCTGGTGGACAAGGTCAGCCATATCCTTTGGGCCCAGAACATCCACAGCAGCATAATTTTCAACCGGGGCAACCAACACCATATGCAAATGGAATGGCTCCAGGTATGGGGCTGCCTCAGTATGAACAGGCCGGATATTCACAACCTGCAGGAGCTTCCTGGAATCCGCAAGTTGCTCAGCAGCAGCCACAGCCTGCATCACCTGTCTATGGTGATTTACTCTTCTCTTTTGCTCTTTTTTAAGCCATGATAGAGACTGAAATTTCTTATGGTAGATCTATATTACTCTTCTACTCATTTTACTGCTAGCTCATTGGTCAGTTATTTAACAAAAAGTAACTTGGCACGGGTAATCAGCATCTGGTCTTTCACTTTGGGATAAATAGATGATCTGTACACATTGCCCTTGTTGACACTTGTAGTCCAAGTCCGAATAGTATATAGGAGGTAGGTCGGACTTGCAGTTATGATGTTGTTGCCTTTCACTGATATGTCATTACATTTGGCCTTTCAGGTTCTCAGAATGGAGGGTCATTGCCACCACCACCATGGGAGTCTCAGCCTGCTGATACCAACCAGCCATTCACTCCTCAATATTCTTCTTCAATGCAAGCCTCGTCGGTAGCTGTCCAACAATCACCAAATTTCCAGGGTGGTGTGCATCCGTTTGCACCTCAACCACCTGGAAATGATCAAGCTGTAGGAATGTACGCACCGCACATGGCAGGTGGTCATATGCCAGGAATGAATGTGCAACCTGTGATGAACCAAATGCCAGGCATGTACCCTCAGCCTTATCAAGGAGGACAGATGATGGGTATGGTTCCTCAGGCAATGCCAGTTCCCCAGATGAACTCTATGTATCCAGCTCAAATGTATGGAAATCAAATGGCAGCTTATGGCTATGGTTATGCGCAGCAGCCTGATGCTCAATATCTTGATCAGAGAATGTACGGTTTGTCTATGAGAGATGACAGTTCTCTGAAGAATGCTTCCAACCAGAATTCGATGGCTTCTTACTTGCCTCCTATGAGGCAGAAACCTAAGGGAGACGATAAGCTGTTTGGAGATCTGGTTGATATGGCGAAATCGAAGCCTGGAGGAAAAGCCGCCCCTAGTAGGACCGGGAGTGTGTGATATCGCGGCTTGTTATTGCATTATAATCTAGATGTTTTTGGAAAATTAGCTTGCTTTGCTAACTTGACTCACTTTGTTTCATTTATTTTCCATCCTTTTTTTTTTTTCGGGGAGATTTTCTGCCTTCCTCAACAACTGAAAAATTCTAGTATTCTAGTATATACGTCTTTTTTGCTATTTCCCCCAAGTTTGAGCGTATCTCTATGTGGGCATTGAATTTGATGTACATCACCTTATAGTCAGGTTGAATTGATTTGGAAAACTCTTCTCCTTTTTTCTCTTAAAATAAATTCTTGTAGTCACATTACTCACATTTTGCTTGTAATGAAAGCACTAGGTGATTATTTAATGCGTTTATTATTTTTTATTTTTACATTATTATTATTTATTTCTGTAGTGTATTGTTTCATTTTGTAATCTAATCTTATAAATGAGATCATTTATGTGTATTGTTTATACTCTCTGTTATTTGCATTGTATTTTCTTTAATTTTCTTGAAGCGTGAAAGTATTTTGTTGACTCGATATAGTGAGGCACCACAGCAATTAGTCTTTCCTCTCAATATCTTAACAGTGTGTGTCAAGGAGGCGGGGGGTGTTAGGGAGAGAGACGGTCTTAGATTAACTTATTTTGGGGCGTCAGAATATACCTTACCTTTTGAAAATAATACTAGCACGTTAAAGTATGGTTGAAGTCATTTTGAAATCAGTCTTCACGTCCATCTCCATACCTAAATCGTCCAGTATGTTTTTATGAGAAGATCAATAGAAAATACTATGCTGTGATCAATCAATTATGGAGAACGGTATAATTGACATTGCTACCTGTTGTAGAGTTGCAAAGCAAAGTCACTAGGCTATATGATTTGAGAAAACCTGTTGAAAGTTTGTTAAAGCATTGAAATAGAAAGGGTGATTTTATTTCTGATTCACAAAAGGGGTGGATAAACTCAATGTTGATCACGTTCCCTGCGACCTGTATTATAACATCATCAGTGACTGCATGGGCCTTCAGAGAAATGAGGTAGAGTTTTGCTAGAATGGATGCAATGAGACTCAAATCCAATCCTCCAAGGCGAAAGTGACAATGATACTCAAATCCATTTCAAGAAATCAAAAACTTTGAAGGCAGCTTAATAATCATTGGCAGATATATTTAGTATTTTAACCAACCAAAACATGCAATGTTGTGTTCTCCTTGATGCTACATAAAATCGATGGTGATAAAAAGGGGGGAATCTGGCTCTCCAAGTATTCCTTCTTGCAGGAGCTCCTGGGTACCATCCAAAATAGTCGAACATGCTATCATAAAGGCATTGACATGCCTGCAATAAGAACCAAACAAGAAATTTTAGTCAACAACTTAAAAGTTATGAAACAGTCAATTCCAAGAATAGTAAGGATGAATATTTAACGAAAATAAGGTATAGAACACACGTGGATATTTACAAAAAAAGTATAAAACACTGGTGTCATCCTAAAAAAATCATGATCACATGATGCTCAACTATCGCCGAAACATGCCACATGTCCATTTGACTTAATTTCAATGAAATACATTCTCATGCTGTGTCCCATAGCCAGATCACGACAGAGCACTATCAGCAAAAACACTATTAGCTTTGTTTGAAGTTGCCTGGAATCTAGCTAGCTGATAACATTACATGCAGTTCACAAGAGTTCCTTCCCTCAGGTGATTTCTTTAGGGCTGGTATTGCAAGTATGGTTATAATCCGGGCAGATGGAAGAAAAGCTGACCTTTTTATCTTCTCATTCCGTTTGAGAAAATGACAAAGCAACAAGTGTGACTGACTTGACTGTGCTCTAATTTATTAGGAAAAACAGACGTGCGCAGGTACCATATAAATATATAGTACGAAAAAACATGTTTGCTACTTGCTACTTAAAGCACACCAAATAAAAACCCTCAATCTAAGACCTAGCATTCTAAAAGCTACATCTTACAAGACATAAGTTACTGTCAAGTACCAAATAGCTCAACCTAAGCAAAAAATTTGCCTAGTAATGTCTATTGGCAACTACCAGCACAAATGAATCCTATAAACATCAGGAGCAAAGCTTAAGTTAACGTGTTCAAAGTAGCATACACATAGCTATAAAGGTTGCCTGTATGCAAAAGAAAGAATTTCCTACTTATTTCCTACTTGCCGAATGGTCTAGAATCTACTACACCATACATCTGTTACTTGGCACAGACTACTGTGACTCAAATTCCCCATCCAATAAACAATGTACCACTGTGTCAAGGAAACAATGGTAGGTGATGCAACTACAAAGCCAGATGATGATTAGAAAACATTTACCAAAACTTATATGAACTCGTGATATTAACACATTGTCCCGGCCTGAAGAAGAGCAATGAACATAGCATACAGCTTTCTACTTTCGGCAACAGGAGAAAAAAGGAACAAGAAAGCACATCATATAACCTCCTAAACTCAAGGAGCCATGAGATAAAGATATTTCTCTTTCCTTCTGGTAGTATAAATGCATTATACATTGAACGTAACGTCAAAGAGGTGGGAGAGAGAAAACTTTGTTCCGAATTTGATATATGGTAATCCTAAACTCAGATTAGTTGATCAACAGAATGGAAATAATCCCTTGCAGCCTTGAAGGAAACACAGGCGGTTTCAAACTCAGCAAAAGATCATCAAACTGTGTAGCACAAAGTTAATAAGTGCTCCCAAAACCTTTTCTAGCAACCTTATCAGCATAAAAAAATTACTAGCGATTTCCAAGTCAATAAAGTGGATCACTTGCCAGAGTTGCCACCATCCAAATTTTCTCATTTATTTGATGGACAAAAATTTTTTAAGTTACGGATCTACAGCCAGCAAGGTTAACTAAAATAGACCTAATACAACCACAAAGAACCCATTTCCTATAAAGGGGAAAATTTAACCTTGGTAGATTTTCCTTATTCATGTGGGCATATACAAAATAACAAAGTAGAAAATCAGCTCAAGACAAATACAACTTTCGCTTTCCTAAGTTCCCTTAGGTGTAACCATTTTGCAGTTTTCGTTAAGTGTAATCATTTTGCAGTTTTCGTTAATCAAGAATTTTCCCCACTATCTATCTTACCTATGTAACACCAAGTTGTATATTAAACACCAACTAGGATCAAAATCAAGACAATTAAACTTCACAACACAACCCCATTTTACAAATTAATTCACCATAGGGAAACATAAAATCAAAACATATGAGAATTGTAGGTAGAAAGCCCCTTTGATGTGAAAAAACCAAGGGATTTGTGAGGACATTGAGGAGTCCACCCTTACTTCTCTAAGAGTAATAAAGTAAGGGTAAATTGGTACAAGATCCCAATTCATTCTTACTAAGGTTTAAGACCAACCAAGAAGTTCATACATTTGCGTTTAACAATTATACGACCAAGACGAAGAATATCATAAAAACACAAAGATTTTGTCCAGCTCTAATTCCAGTGAACTAGAACGTGAAACTACGACAACACCAGATTGAAGCCTCAAATGTCCCCAGCTTATTGTCTAAGCTTTACCTGAACTACATTTATACTTCGAGCAAACCACTTTGCCATTTTAAATCTGTACATTAATAACAACTCTAAATCTCCTCTGTACTTGTATTTTTCCTTCATGTGAAAATCTAATCAGCCCCAACCCTCAAACCTTTATATAATTTGGATTTAGCTTAACATCCCTCATAGCTTATGTTGAAAGCCATGCTATAATAATTTGGGCTTCATCTAAAACCTTATGCCTCTAGTGGGCTGGATCCACAACAATATCCCCCTCTAGCTCAGCACGAGTAAATACAATCCCTTCATGATTACTTGAACCTTATGCCAACAATCCTACTATAAATCTCAAGCTTTATTCAAGAACAACCTTTGTCAGCATGTGGGCACCATTCTTGTTAGTGTGGAATTTTTTGGTTACATTTGTATCTAGATCACATCTGGCAACCAATAATACCTAGCATCAATATGTTTGGTGCAAGCATAGTACAATACATTTTATCTCGAATCTATAACACTAATACTTCATAATATTATCACATAATACTTTATGCTCATTATGCTTAACAACCCAACTTTCTCGAAGGAAGCACTTAAGCCTCTACATCTATGGCTATGCTTCCACAACTCCAATATTCCGCCTCAATGGTTGTAATAATACACATTTTTGTATTCTTGAGAACATTATCCTTTAAGTATAGATTTGCCACATACATTACACAAACTCAATTTGGAAGTGCCACACAATTATGCAACAATCTATTTCCTTGATAATAACTATCGGCTAACTAAATCAATTGCTTGTGCAAGCCCTCACACACCATAACATATATGGGATACCAAATAATCAGTAGCAGCAAATAAAGAATTTTGTTGAGGGTCCAACCTACTCGACGCATAAAGTAATTCATTAACTTCTGCTATTATATGTTGGGTGAGGCCTAATATTTATCTGTTGGACTTTATGATGTAGCTTTGATAAGCATATTAGAAGGGTGTAAACTAAGTCTAAAAAAGGGTTAAAGAGTTGATGAGCTTTCACAAGAAAAATGCAAGAAAGAACGAAGAAACAATGGTTTTAGATGAAATTAGAGCTGCTACCACTACATGGGTTTCATGGAGCAATTTCAATCAAGAGGTCCGATCGAGGGGTGAATGTGGTTCGATTTAGCTGAAACTTGGATAGCTAGCTTGTTGGGGACACATGAGGCTACAATTATAGATTGAGTGATCGAGCTCCAATCTTCTTATGTTTGATATTATTAATGTTGTGAATTTTGTGAGACTTACTTGAGTTTCATGTACCCTTAATTTATTATAATAAGAGGAAAAAAAGGGGGAAAACTATTCATGCCTTGTGGTTTTTACTTTTCACATTGAAGGGGTAATTCATTCGCCTTACTGGGAGTGCTCTATGGCGTTTAGGCGCTTTCTTTAAGCCTTTTTCACTTAAGGAAAGTGTAAGTCTCACTTGAGCAAAGGTTAGACACAAGTGTGATATTTACCCAACATTGTTTGTCCTTTTAATTCCAACTTAAGTGAATTGCTCCTATTGCCAATTGTTTTAGGAGGGAATCTCGATTACACATTAGTCTCTCCTCTCTCTTAATCCCCGTCACTAACAACTTCCTTCAAAGTTTATACCTTTTACAAAAAAAAAAAAAAAAAAAAAAAAAATATAAATACCGTAATATCCTACAACTCTGTTTTATGTTCCATTCCATTAAAATAATTTCACATAGCCTCATAACTATCTTTTCCTAAGCACCAACTATAACTAAACAAACATAACTGAAATTAGACAAATAATAACCCCACTAGTGTGTGCCCGATGCCCCGAGTTGCTAGTTTATGTAGTTCTGTAATTTAGTAATTATGTATGATTGTTTATATAGTTAGTGTATGTAGTGGTTCGAGCGTTGCCTTGTATGTCACTATTTTTTTTTACCGTATATGTATTTATATTCTAATCTTATGAAAAATAAATGAATTATATTACGTCTAATTTACTTAATAAATGAAAGGATATATAATATTATGTGAAATTTGAAACATTAATAAAAGTTGGTTGAGATGGTAAATGTATTACCTTTATGTATGAGTAATGAAGTGGCAAACTTATGTGATGCATATACTTTCGATAGTAGCGTGACATTGTGACATGGCGCATATACTTTGAAAAGTGCCACGTGGCACATTTCCTTTAAAAGTAACATATATATATATATATATGAACATGGTCAACATTTTAGGTTTCTATAGAAAACCGTATTGGGCGATGATTCGTATTGAATTCGATCGAAGACATTATCAACTAATCTAGGTTACACCCACATACACTTGGTCAAAACAAAACAGCATTAGGTAAAGAAGAGGAGAGAGAAAAAGAAAGAGACCTTGAGGAACTAAACACCAACTCTGGGAATCAACAGATAATACAGACTGTAATCTAGCAGAAGCAATTGCGCTGTGCAACGGCAACATTGTAAGTAAGCAGCTTGCTTCAACAGGTAACCTAAAACCCCACAAAAACCCAGATTCAATTAACATCACAAAATCTCAAAATTTTCAAAACACAAATTCATCCAAATGATTAATCAAAGAATCAAAAGACAAAATTTTTAACAAGAGATTAAAAAAATAAATAAATAAATAAATAAAAAATAAAACCTTGAAATACGAGGAATGCGCTTAGTAGAAGAAGAAACTGGAGATGGGGTGGTTGATTTGAATAAGTTAGCAATTGTAGGAATTGATTTGCATCTTCCTCGTATTGTTGATAATCTGGAGAGAATTGCTGTTGAGCTCATTTTTTACTTATTTTTTGCCCTATTTCCAGATTTTTGAGTTTTTTTTTAGTGAGGATGAACCAAGAAGTTGAGGAAACGCAGTTTTTTTTTTCTGGAATTTTATTTTCTTTTTCGTTTGAGTCTCTTTGACTTGGGTTGCCTACATCAGGCCCAAGAAGAAGATGTACAAAGTGCAATAATACAATGTCCCCCGAAAATTACTGGAAAAAGGATGTTATCTCGAAAGGATATTATAGTTCAAAATTTACATGTAGATAGAATATATTTGGGGAATTTTTTTATTTATTTTTTTTGGTGTTCCACCCGGTTTACTCTTTGGGCTAATTTGGATTCGAGGTCTGGATGGTTAGGTTTTAGTCTCCTACCAAGTGTAGTCCCAATCACCACTACACCAATTTACCAATTGGTAGGAAAACTATAAGCATATGCTTCGAATGCTACCAACATTTATGCCATAATCTGGTAAATTTGATGAGATGAACATATAGATCAACAACATTTTTTTCATTCTTTGATCATTGTATTGTTTAGCTATTGAACTAGCATGTAACAAGTTAATGGATTTGTCTCAACGTATTTAGATTTAATAGTCAAATTCGTGCGTTGACAAATATAAAGTTAGAGCGTTGCCTTTATTAAAGAAGGGTTAAGTATATAACTAGTTCTAGGTACAATCAATTGTATAATAAAAATTACACTCTCCAATACCTAAGATTAAATTTTGTCTACATCACTGTCTGTAGCTCTCTATATATTTTTAAAAAATCACTATAAACTTGAATTGCGAATTCTAGCTAGAAGTATCATAGAAATGTGACATTGCTTAATCAAACATTACCCAAATCACAAATTCACAACCACCTAGCCCACCTCTATTTGAAAGATAGGACGAGGAAAATGCAATAATGATGCAGTGCTCAAGTTTCATGTTTTTGAGTATCAGTTCTACTTTCGGGGTAACGGGGTTCCATTTCCACGTTTTCATTAACTAGATCATGTTTTTCTTCAGCAATATTCTTGGATGTTTTGTCCTAGTAATTGAGAAATACAGCAGGTGCTACACTGCTACTTAGAGAGTCCTCTGAAGAGAATTTGTGGTCCTCTGAAAAAAAATTCAGGCGGGAACATAAAATTTAGATTACACAGCTAATATAGTAGAACTAAACCAGAGACGATCCGCTGGTTTATTATTAATGAAATTAAGCATACAAATAAAGTTCTCTATATTCCAGTGTACCAAACTTTAACTAAAATACTAAATGATAAGGATAGAACAGAAGAAGTAAAATCAAAGAAAAGGAACCTTTTGGACATAACAATACATTTGAAAGCAATGACAAATACAGTTCCCTTGGCACATTATCAATGAGAAATACACAGCTTTAAGATGCAGATTTAGCTGCTTCATTATTTGAGGAAGCATCATGTATGATTTCAATTTATTTATTTGATCGAATTTGAGCAACTCGGAATCATCATATGCCTCCATGCTTGCTCTAGAGAAATCTGTCAAACCAATCACTAGCTTCTTTGACCATGGCTGGTGTCATCTGGTGTCCTATTCCAGGTTCTGCAATGAGCTGAAAGTACATACACCATTAGATAGCAACGTACATTGTTCGAATGAGCTAAAGAGAGGGAGACATTATCTTTGATAGCTTATTTTACTCGTGATATAAAAGTGCCATCTCCATGCATTTCTTGAGATAAAATTGAGACAATATTGGAAATTTGGAGATAGATTTTTTTAAATGAGATGAGTAGCTAAGGGAAGAACCACAGTAAGTACAATCTTCCTTGGGGATAAAAATAATAAATACTTCGTATTAGTTAGTTGATACGTCATGGAAAAATTTATTGAACAATTTTGCTTCCAAGAATCATGCACAAGAAACCATGCCAATATTCTTATCATGATTTTATTAATTACCTTGAAATAATTACTGTGATGATAAGCTTTATATGCCATCTCTGCTCTCGATACAGGTATGTCTAGACCGGCAAGGGGGCATCGAGGATCATCAGCACCTGTATATTTGATAAGAGACTCAGTCCAATGTAATATCAAAACAAATAAGGTTAGGAAATACTTGGTTTTGGCCACCTCAAAGAGAAGTTAAAATGTCAAAAATATGAAGGCGAAGACCTAAGTTGCTGACTAAAAGAAGACATTAAGACATTAGGAACCTTAATGACAAGAAACTTGGCAATGACTTGACTACTTGAGCATGTTGTATATATACACATTGCAAGATAGTTATATCATGCAGCAGAGAGTAACAAATCTTCTGGACTCAAATAGTTAAAAAGAACAACCTGATACAAGAATATTTTGAGCTCTCAGGCTGCCAGAAGATGCAAGAAAGATAATTTTTGGGGTAAAGAAACTCATAAACTTGTGAAATGTCAAAAATTGTCACGTGTACTGAGCAACACTAGTATGAAATACCATACTCATAATCGTACACTGTTAGTTAAATGAATACTAATTTTACTTAGATGAACAAATAATGAGGATTAGTGAAAGTATTACTTAATAAGTGAACAATGGGCATATTGTTTAAGCTGTAACTATTAGAAAACTAAGTTCACAGTTACTAATAATCTGCAGTTATACGTTTCTCCTGCAAAATAATACCATCAGCAGCAAAAGGATATCAAAGTCCTTATAACTCATCAATCAAATTTTGCAGAGTTGGACTTGTTTCTTTAATTGAATAGTTTTAGGACAAAATTAACATTTTGATATATATGGCTCCCAGAAATCACGGCACTTTACTTGATAGACATGTAATAGATGATACCACCAGACGTCCAGGCATATCAAGAGGGTTAGGCAATGCCTTCATGTCAGATGATGGATCAACAATAGCTATTAATTATTTCAAATGGTTACATCACTCATCCACGCTTTAAGAAAAGGTTGCACAAGAAATGATCTTGCTCTAATTTACTAGTGGCTAACCATGTTTCTATTAGCCCACATAAAGAAAGTATTTGTCAGTATTAAAGCTGCTCTTCTAAAATGCAATAGGGAAACACTACACAGAAAATTTATCTTACAAAACATGAATAAAAACTGCTAATCCAAATCAGTAATTTTAGTAGTGGGAGCTTTACTGTCAATTCAAAGTGTGAACACGTCTTAATTTAAAAAGTCATACCATTCAAAATTATCTGAGGACGAGGAGCTAGTGCCGGGATTGTGTAAGGTGCATCAAACTTTGAAGCCAGACCAGGAGCAATCCTATCCCAAACCTGATTTAAACAGGTGCACAGTATGGGTTAACAACAGTGCTATATATTTGCCAAATCATAGATAGATGCAGAAGTATGTATACGTTTTGAATGTGTTCCCCTTCTTTTTTAACTAGGACCCTTATAGGACAAGGGACATACAGAGAAAGACAACATCAATCACATGCAACAAGTAGATAAATAAATCAGCAAATGACCTTCTCTACGATTTCTTTATCAATAGCACTCTTGCCCAAATCAACACGGGCTTCTGCAAATGCAAAGTTTGAAAAAAAATCAGATCAAGTTATTATCCCAAGAACAGTTATTGTGAAATGTTGCTTTTGCTCCTTTCACTGTTCACCTTCAAAAACGGACTTGATACTGTCTACACGACCCTGCCATTTGTCATTGTCTATGGCCCACCGAAACCCCTACAAACTCCATTTGGTTAGTCAGCTTTGGATATCAGAACTAATAACAAGTAGCTTTCACTAACTGCACCTGAACTCCTATGACAGGTGCAACCACAGCATAGCGTGTGTCAGCAAAGGCAGCAAACCACGCATGCATTCCTGAATAGCATGATGAACTGTGAGTACATTAAAATCAAAGAGAATATCGTAGTTCAGATAAGGTGAACTGCTCTAACAAACCTCCAAGTGACTCGCCAGTGATTCCAATCCTTGCATGATCAATATCATCCCTATGATAAGTAAGGTAATCAGCCAGCTTTATCAGATCCCATACCTGCAGTGTATCTCCACTCTTAAACTTGGAACAAACTCAGATATTTTTCTTTTTCACTTCAACCCTCTTCCTCCCCAAAAGACTAAAACTCATAAAAAAAATAGAAGGTAATTGCAGTTCATATTTACAACAAAATACCAATGCTTTTAGCTTCCTACGTCAAAATTAATGTGTTGTTTGTTGTTTCTTCCTTCTACAAGATGAGAAGTCTAATATAGGACCTCATTGTCCTCTTTTCTTTTAAGGAGAGGATAGGAAGGGAAGACTTTACCGTATCAAATATAAATGGCATAGTGTCACCGTTTTTCCATGATGATACAAGTGCCTGCAGTTCATTAACCAAATAACATGCTTATAAATTAGCTAAGGCTTTTCTAATCAAAAGGTTTAAAAGCCTTGAGCACAATAGAAAGACCAACTAAAGATGCATGGTACAGAATATACTTCACTATAGGTCGTTGGACTATTTGCACGTTCACCATGGTAACGGGAATCAATGGCAACAGCAACATAGCCGCGTGAGGCGTAAGCCTGGAACATATGAGAACAGTCATAAGGTCTGCGCTAAAAAGTACAAGATTAATTAATGCAAAATGCACCAGTTAATATCAGTAGCCACCTCAAGCAAAGGTCGTAACCATTCTTTGCACTTATTCGTGCTGTGCAGGATAACAACAGCTGGTCTCTTTGGCAGAAAACTAGTTCGCCTCATGCTCAGAATCAAAATTGGTAAACATCCTTGCGCAGAGGCCTATGCAAAATCATGAAACATTATGTCAGTCCGAATGTGTAACAAAATTGTCAGACTGCCAGTTAATGCCTTAAAAATAAATGGATGCCCCAGGAACTGCCAAAGTGAGCAGCAATTGTGAGTTTATGACAGATGAAGTTTGTCAACACAGCCATCTCACCTTATCTCAATAAAGAGGATTTTCAATCAAATTGCAGCAAAGACAATCTGATCAGATTAAGCATAGTCTGGCAACGAATCTACGAGGCAACTTAAAACTCAGGTGCGTCAGACCATTTGTTACTCCCCTCCATCCCAATATACTTTTTACACTTTCCTTATACTAAACATTTTCATATAATTTAATCCCTCTTCCTACTGCCAAATTTGTTTGAAATGTAGATGCAACAAGGATCTTCTCCATACCCAGTGGGCGCTAAATATTCCACTTGGAAGGAGGAATGTATGAGATTTGAACCCATGACCCTTTTCACATTGGCTCTTAATACCATGCCAAAGGACTAATGTTTAAACTTAAACTAATGATTGGTTTTAATACTCTAGCACTAAGAATATGCAATGAATGTGTTTGGCATTGTGCTTAGAGTCAATACCTCGGTGTGTAAGTATATATTTTCTTCAACAAGTAGATCCTTAAGATTGTCGATATCTGCTTTAGGACAAGATTTCATAGCCTGGCAGAAATACAAGGAATAAATTAACTAATTAAGTAATAGGAATGTACAAGACAAAGCAAAAGAAGATAAGCAAATATAAATCATTTCCAAGTTGAAGGGGTGATGAAAATGAGTAATAACCTCCTGGAGACTTGGTGGTGGTGGTGACGGACTACCTTGATACATTGGATCCGTTACAGGCTCTGCAGGTTCGACTCTCAAAGGAACTACAAGAGATGGGAAAACACAAATCAATCTTGCAGCCAAAGTACATATTTTGTCCAGAGTAGGTTGCATATTGTCCCAAGTCATCACATGTAAGGACTAATATGGGCCTAGGCTGCACCTGTCATCGTCAACAGAGAGAGTCTACTTAACAAAGCCAAAAAAGATCCCACCTTAAACCATTTGGTAATAGGGAATAATATTTAGCCTTATAAAGTGATTAATTGTAATACACTCTCTTCTTTTGTATATGTGGGACACTCTCTTCTTTTGTATATGTGGGACACTCTCATGCATTGTTTGGGATAGAGTCATACACAAGCTTCAACAATTAACATACGTAATTTTACTAAAACAACCTTTGTAATAGTTGTTCCCCTTAACCCTCTCTTCCTTAACCATTCCATTTGGGTAAACTGTAGAAAATCATGCATAAATTGAAACTGTCTTATGAAATGACAGCTCTTTCCTGACTATTTACTCTAGCCCACAACAACATTAATATAACAAAAACTTTAACATGTAGTGTGAGCACACATCGGATATCCAATATCCGAAATTCAAAAAAAAAAAATTAAAAAAATTACAGGCAGTAAAATATGACGAGTTGATAAGATTAAGGCAGTAGGGAGTAAAATTCAAAACTTTGTACTGAAAAGGTAAAAAATGTTTTTTTTTTTTTTTTAAATCCTTAATTTTATTACACTAATCAAGTGAACTTTATAAACTGATCTTTTTATTTTCAAACGAATTAAAATTAAAAACTCACAACAAATAATTGGATGATTATTTTTCTATTCATGTGTTTGAAATTGATCGATATCGAAAATTATCATGGACTTCCTCATATCAATCTTCAAAAAGAAAAAAATAAATAAACACTTAAATGTCTACTTTTTGCCAACTACCTACACTGTCATCAAGCATAAATCTAATTCATTCCTCATTAAAATCAAAAATCTAAAATCTGATCATCAATAAGTCAACCTTTTCTAACATTTCATTATTCAAAAATTAACAAAATCAGTTTTTTTTTCCGAAACCTCAAATTCCCAAAATCAGAACAATTAAAAAATTAGACATGAATTTATGAAAAAGATACCTTCAGTTCGTCGGCTGCGAAGAAGATGATAGAATTCGGCGCGTAAAATGGCAGGATTAGCAGCAGTTTCTTCCATTTTCTTCTTCTTCTGATTTTCCGAGTGTTCTGTGAAATGAGTTGACTCAACTCGAGTTGTGATAACTCGGTATTTATGGGAGAAATATGGAGAAGAAGTGTGGTAGGAGAGAAACGAGAATATTGGCGGGTGACTTGGCACGTTTTTAAAGCACGTTTGCCGTAGATGTAGCTGAGGGAAAGCTCGCACATGTGACAATGGAGATAAATACCAACCCATTTTATAGGATTTTCTCAACAAGTCAACAAAATATAAGATTTTCTAAACCATTTTTTTTTGTATAATAAAGTATATTTTTGTAATAATATTCACTATTGGTTTATTACACCTGTATTTTTTTATGGAGTGAGTACTTTTTTTATTTTTCTCAACAAATCAACAAAATATAAGATTTTCTTAACCATTTTTATTTTATTTTAGTATTTTTCTAATAATATTCATTCATTGGTTTATTACACCTGTATTTTTTATGGAGTGAGTTATTTTTTTTTTTTGATCTAATCTATTTTTTCTAATCTGGTTTGGTTTTGTCAAATTTGATTTTCTAATATAACTTTTGATTTTATCTGTAGACTAATGCATAACATAAAATAATTATCAAATGGGATGACCTTAAATTCGAATTTTTTAAATATGAATTTTTCATAATTTTATATATTATGAAATTAAAGTTATTTTATCATAAATAAACACAATTACACAGATAAAAAGAATTTGATCCCATTTGTTTATTTTTGAAATAATTATATACCAACTTAAATACTACCTCCGTTTCATTTTATTTGCAACGATTAGACATTTTCTACTCACGTTTTATGTCAAATCGTTGAAAATAATATAAAACGGAGGTAGTAAGTTGGTTGAGCATAGTCTTTGTCTTTATTGAGTATGGTCAATGGCTTTTTAATTGCTAGAGTCGATTTTTTTATTTTTTTTTCGTAGTGGATATTCCTTCTCCTAATAATTTTTTAAGAGTTATTTATATACAAAAAAAATCTACATCTTGTAAGGTTTTTTAATGTGTCACATTTGTTTTTGCCGCATATTAAGGGAAAGGAGAAAAAAAAAAACCTACTAGGTTTCTTTATATTCGACAAAGTAAGAAAAATAAAGATATTACAAACCCTTCAAAGGAAAATACATAATGCATGAGCAATTGGGTGTCTTGGGTGAATATTGGCACATTATTATGGAGAGTAAAGAAAACATGCCCAAAAAAAAAGGTACTGTAGCAAGTTAAATAAAAACAATCAAAAATGGAATTTGCAGCAAATTCATATAAAACCTGAGCAAATTCATACAGTATTAAATCTTATGGTCAAGCAGTCAGCATAAAAAAACTTTAGTCAGCATAAACAAATGTTGGTAAACCAGCGTACTAATGCATTTCTTGATAGATTCAATCTTAGTCTATTTCTTAAAATAACAGATAAATATAAGCTGCAGCAATGGCTAATTGGCCATGGACTAATTACACAAAAACGCCTTTGCTTTGTGCAATTTTGTACTCATACTTCGTATTCAAGTGAGCACATGATCTCATATAAAACTACGGTTTAATATATATAATTGTTTCACCTTTTACAAAATTTTCTCATGCTACGAACTTATAGTAATTAAGTACTCCGTAGATTATGAAAGAACGGAAGTAATGTTACTGAACATATGTTACAGATCTATCATAAGTTCATAACTTCATATCACAGCGTGATATAACATATAAGTGGGATCAGTGGAACTGATTTTATTACCAATAATCAACAGTTATTAACAGAAGGTACTCTTACGTCTTAACTAACCGTCAGTTGCTTTGCCATCGATCTGGAAAACGTTGTGGAATATCTGGACTCTATATATGCCATTTCAGACAAGAAGTACTATACAGTTTTCTCCGTCTTGGGTTTTAACATGCCATTTTCGATAGGAAGTCCCATATGCTGGTTAAAAGCATTAGTGGAACCAAAAGCAACTCCGCCTGTTCTTGTGGCTGGTGTATGGTTAGCCATCGAAGCAAATGGCTTTATGACACCATTACTGAGATGCCTGTTATTGAAAGCATCAGTCTTTAAGGATGGTCCTTGATTACCTGCTTCATCTCTCACTTGGGAAGAACACATTGTTTCTGCAGATAAAAAAAAAAAAAAAAAAAAAAAAAAAGCAGATTGGAGGATAAAAGTTTTCTCAAACTAGCTAATAAGAAATGCATGTATTATAAACATCTCATTTCATTTTAAACGTTTCTACAAACTGAAATAAAACCTAGCATTTCCGTTATACACTGAAAGCTAGTCAAATTCTCGGAAACTCAGTAAAAATGAGAAAGATTACCTTTAATGCTACCGCAAGTTATCAGTCGATTGAGAAAATCACGGAAGTTGGTCAATACTGCCCTCTCTTGTTTCACAAAACAATCTGTGACCTTCTGCTCACTGGATGTATCAGGAGCTGTGTTTTGGCTATCGACAGTTGGTCCTCTTGCACTCTCTTCCATCAGTACAGTTTCCTGTTCATAGCACATCAGTGCCATTGTTCCAGGAGATGCTGGCCTTCCATTAAGTGCATCACTTTCATCCAACCCAGAACTCTCTGGACAAATCCTAACAGCTTGCTCATCAGTTGAATGATTCTGCAGAGCTCCTTTTTCCATTTTATACTCTTTCTGCTCATTCACCTTCTCTTTTATTTCAAAACTGCCATGAGTCCTGGATTCATCCTTCTCTTGATAATCTATATTGCGGTTTTTATCTGAATTTGTTTAAGATGCAACATATGATAGTTTAGTGCAAAGAAAGATTAACTGGTGCTACTCAAATCTTGTGACTAAGCCGAAACAGTTCAATTCTATGAAACAAATTCGAATTACACCTTCAATCGCAGATGCTAAGAGACTACTGTAAGTCTGCAGCTAATAGGATTTAATTACCATTTTTGACTAATAGATTGTAATCAAAGAGCATGCCCTGGAGTGAAAGAGGATAAGTGCTTTGAGATCTCAGCAAAGATTTTCGAATCTACATTTGTCTTTGATTACCAAAATTTGAATTATCAGCTCTAACTAACTATTTTAGTTAGCAGAATTCTTATAGTACAGCAGTAAAATTGCAAAAGAGCAAACACAATTAACATTTCTCTGAACGCTAAAACATCGAAAGATGAGTAGCACAGCCATCACAGTTGCTTATTAACTAAATCGTCATCCCAAATATTTTTCCTTTCATCTGCATAACAAAAAAACTACTTGCCTCTCGATCAGACAAGGAAATTAGGAAAGAGTCTTCATATCTTAAAATTTTCACCAGATCTTACAACATCACTGTATGAAGTCTAATAAACACAAAATATCACCTATTTGAAACTAAATCAAGATAACTGATAACCCAACGAAATTTTTCCAGTATTTTAGGGTGGTCCAAACAGGTGGGGTAATATTTTTACTTGCACGCAATGAAAAATGAACATATTCAACAATTCAATCTCCAAATCAACATTCATAATTACGATACCAAAATCGTAATTCATAATTTTAAAGGAAATTTCAGTGATGCAAATCATGCAATGTCAAATGTACTACTACGTAATAAGCAATAGTTGTGCTTGAGATATACCTACAAAAGTCTTTGCTGCCTCCTTTGAGACTATCACCAAAAGAGAACAAAGTTCTTTCACGTCCTGCGGTTGAATGACACCAGCTAGTGGAGACCTTAAGACACAAAAGCATAAATGAGCAACCAGTAGTTCTTCAAATAGAAGGCTGGAAATTGCACAGAGTGACAATGCACGGGGCATTGCTGCAACAGCGCACTGCATCAGGAATACCTATATGTGATTTTTGAAGCAGCTGGGGAACTGGTCCCACGAGTAGCAGGTGGTTCGGATGGAAGAGTTGGAGGGGCAGATTTCACATGATTTCCCTGAAAGAAAGAGAAGAAAGTACATGTTAATCACAAAGACAGGTAAAAAAAAATTACAAAATGTATCAAAAAGGCATCCTGATGCCTAATCTGTGGTTGAAATGCATGTGAAATGCATCTGTTTAGGTCAAAAAAATGACATGCTTAGATATACTAATGTCGAGACTGTCAATCTTATGCATAAAATCAATTTTCTGACTTGTACTAACTATAATAAATGAGTCATTTAGAGAACACAAGCAAAAGTATGGCAAATAATCCCTCAATTTAAACTGTATTTTATTTCCCTGTACGTTACAGAACTAGCACGTAAACTTTTAAAATTAGTAGACCAACTACATTAGCATGGTGACAATGGTAAGGATACCTGCATATAATGTGCATTACGATAAAAAGGCTGATTATTATACATGCCAATGAAGAGCTCTTGACTTCTCCTCTTTCTTGATCCTGGAGAGTTACTATAGCCAGATGGCCCAGAGGACCCAATTGCACCATTGATTGCTGCGTTTGCCGCTTGATATATCATGGTATTGTAGCTGCTACCATGGAAGAGAGCTCTTCTCTCTTCACTTCCCTCAAAATTCTTGCAATCAATGCATTTACAATTGTCGGAACAAAGAATATTTGCTTGGAAGCACTCACAGTACTTCTTGAGGCACCCTGATTTTTTACAATTGCACCCCTTGTTATGTTTTCCCACCAGTTGTGCTGGCCCCGTTTCTGGCTGCATTCCATTAGGAAACTTAAGTAATAAGTTATCTTTCAATATGTCAATATAAAATAACAAAAGGACAAAACCAATAATTAGATCCAGTAAAAATTTGAGACTGCATTTCTAAAAAGCAAACTATTCATGATAACACACCTGAGCAACAGATACGAAAACGTTGCATAAACAGATATCTAATCAATGATAATAACCACAAGGATTTCAAAATTTACCAGAACAATCTTTGGACTAATTCCAACAGAGGTTCATACGATTATATGTCCACAACAACATTTATATATTTAATATCCATCAAAACCTCACTCGTGAAAATTCTTATCATTCCCCTTGAGACACAGAAAACACAATACAACCAGAATAAATTAATCCACAATAATTCTTTGACTTTGCCTTCAGAGAGCACACCTTATTCATTCGGGATCCATGTGGACTACTTGCAATCTTAGGTCTGAATGCATTAGGATTGCGCTCCAGGGTTGCTCCAATTGCTTCTTGCCTTGCAGGCTCATGATCCACATTATTGTGACAATTTATGCAGTTGCATCCATCACAATAAATCCCAGAGGCAAAGCATTCACAGTACCTGAACACACATTTTAGTATGTGATAGACTTTCATAGTTCTACAAAAACATACATGCTACACCCACAAGGCCACAGTTCAGGTATCATAATATCACATCAAACTATAGTAAGTTATACAGTATGAAATAATAGACATGATTCATAAACTACAACTAATTTCATCTTGGCAGTAGGCAATGAACATAGACCATACAAAGAGACTGCCTCACACCTTCCGGTATTCCCTTTATCAAGTTCTGGCATAATTTTCATGATTTGTATGGTGTATCTACAAAATATCACTCTCAAAAAAGCCAGACATCATAGGTGATAAATAGAGTTACAGCCATTTCCTAAAATCTGCATCTTCGGGTAGAGTACTCTGTACTCACCCAAGAATCTGAGAGACATTGCTCATTTTTTGCTTGACCCTAAATGACATTGTTTCTCAAGATATCCCATCGTTTACCGAGCTCAAACAAGTACAAGAGACATGCTAGAATTGCTAGCTCCCTAGTAGGCATGTACAATAAGGTACCCCAAAATCTCTGGCCCTCCTGTTCTTGACTGGACTACTTGCAATCTTTTGTCATTTGTGTAAACGTAAAGCATAAGCCAATGCTGCTTGCATGGAGCCCTGCCAAAACACATAACTACTGCCAGACAGGGGCTTCCCTCACTCTTGCTTGGGAGCATACCATGTCTTTATGCCTACTAAGTCAAACCCTAGATGCCACTTAGCCGCCAACTTATAGGAGAAATCTTGTTAGGATAATTCTGCTAAGGGGGATCACAGTCATCACACTCATCAATATAGGAAAATGCTTGGGACACTTAAAATGAAGACTTAATAGCTTCACACCCGACCCTCAATCCATAATCATCCATGCCACGAATTCAGCATCACAATTCATATCCAACTAACTCATGTTGGCCAAGCACCTTGAGAGTTAAGTATCTATTTAATTACCTCGAGCATATTAGATTAAATCCTAGGCAACACATTCACTGAGGTCAAAATGGTAGAAGTCTCACATTGCAATATTTTCCAGCTCTAACCTTATGCCTCTTCATTCGGGGGTGTAAACTCTATAAATTCGTTTTAAGGAAAGAAAGCGTACACCTCTCCACCTTGCATGATTGCATGCATGTAGCTGTCAACAATGTTAACAATGTGAGCTTCCTACCAAGGGGAGAAAGAGATAGGCGTTATGGTGCCTATAGTGAGATAGAACTCATGGAAACCAATTCAACTTCCATGCTAACTCCAAAATATATAGATTCTTTTTCTCCAAATAAAGGCTCCCCCAAACTTATCAAAACACTTAAAGGAGTCCAACAGAACTGCGTGAACTAGTCATCAGGTATCAAAGAGCAATGTACAAAAAGGCCCAAGCTGCACCAAGGCGATAAGGATATCGCTGCCATAGTACGCCTCGGTGCACCCCATTATCGAAGTGAGGCACACATAATATTAACAAAAATATATTTAAGAAAAAAACACTCTGGTAGAGGCAGACTTGATAAACAGTAGAAAGAAACGTTTTGAGCCTCACCAAAATAGCCTTGCCAACATCGAAAAAGACATGTAGGCCTGGTCACCTTGCACCTCACTTTCTAGGCATGCCTTTTTATACATCGTCAAAGACAATCCTCAGAATGATATTACAATGCGCACTCATGAAACTTGTATTTTCACATATATTTCTTGGCATAGGCCTTCATATCATGCCAATTAACAAGTAGACAGCGTCATCAAAACATACACATAGTTAATCCGATTAGCATGAAGATAAAGCTCTTGTCTATTGTTGCATATGGCTTCATTAACACAACACGTTCTCATTAAAGAGCTTAATACAAACATGGGTTCTTATCGTGTGGGAAACAAAAAGTATTACACAGATTGCAACGCCTAACCTCTTCATATGTTTGTTGCTCAGAGCATGTGAGCAATTCATGACCATTCTTTTGATAGCTGCCATCTTCTTGATTACAATACCCCATCATTCATAATTTTATAAGATGGTCAATTGGCCACTTAGCAATCAAACTCCTTCATGTGAAGGACTTCAAAAGCCCATAGAGCTTTGAGTGAAAGGCATCAAAACTTCTACACAAACCCTTCACTACATGAGGCCTCTCCAATACTCATTATCCACAAAGCCAAAGTAGATCCGTGCTGCAATTGTGTTTCACATGTACACTTTCCATGTTGCACTTCCGTGACAAATTCTATGTCTAGATGCCTTTCATTATACCTTTACAGAAGTTTTTTTTTTCTCCCAGACATAACCTCAATCATTAAAAAAAAGTCAAAATTACCTTGCATAAACTAGTCATATCCAAATACTCTGCCCGTCTAGATACCAATCTCTTTGGCCCTATAGAGCCGGTCACTATAATGTAAAATGCCATTGTTGCGGTCTCTATAAGCCTGTTGATAAGGCTTTGATTTCACAGAATACCCTGATAAGACCATTAATGCAAGTATAACTTCTGAGATACTCATCCTTTTACTATATAACATCTCAGCTACTTGAGGGCTCCCTCATGCTCAAATAACTCTACATGAGGCAACCATTTTAAAGGTTTGGACTAGCACACCCTTATAATTAGAGATGAAAGGTGACTATCTTCTTTTGGAAGAGAGCCAACTATTTAAGCTTACATGAGTGTCAAATTTCAATTGTGGGTGCTTCTGTTCTCGCAGCAATTAACACCATTCTCTTGACACCTATGGATATGACTATGCTGGCCTCATCCATTGTAAACTCACTATCAACCTTCACAAGGCTTGTCTTTCATTAATGGCTCCCTTTCGCGAAAAGACTGCCACATTTTACCTAAAGGAATTAGTGTGCGCAAGCACAAACCACAGTATTGAAATCATGACGGTCACACACGACATGTCAAAGTGCAGGCCTTGACACCTCAAGGATAAGCATGATATAGGTTGGCAGCAAGGAGCTTCACATCTAAAAAATTATGGCTAAAATGAAGCATAAATGACCTCAATTTACTTATGAAACAAAACGGAGGAGAACAAGAACTAACTGGACTTTTATCATTCGCTCCAATGACATTCACATTTTATACAGGTTCTAAATTAGACTAATCGAAGGAATAATTATTCAGTTGAAGCACTAGGTTTTATAAGAGAAAATATAACAGCGATCAAAATAGATAGCAAAGGCATGTCAAACGGAAGCAGTTCAAAAAAACAATAATTATAAATTTAAGCCTCGCTTAGAGGGCCCCAAACAGAGTAATGAAGAGCCTAATATGCACAGCACAGTACCACCAGCACTTGTTGCTAAAGTACAGTCCTTTTCAAAAAAATAATTTCAAGCGCATGTAAAGGTCTGCAAAAAGAAAGTATGAAGCATGTAGTGAAATCTACATGGAAATATAGCAGCCTACTCAGCAACATAGGGGTAATTGGTATCGGAAATATTACCAATAGAAAATGAAACTTCTCTCTAATATAAAGAGCATATGTGAATTCCAAGGTTCACAGATGGCAAGAAACATCATGAAGTTTAGTAAAAGAATTGGTCTACCGATCATTACTTACAATTTTAAACACCTAGAATTCTTGCAATTGCATTGCTTTTGCTTCTTCGGAGTGCCATCTTTGACTTCAGGAACAGTAGCTTGTGGTTGAGGACTCTGTGACTCTGGCTTGCTAACAAAGAAGTAGAGAAGACAAATGAGTGAATAGAAACAAGCAAGGCACTTGACTTGACCGTAACACATAAGAAAAATTAAATACTACACAGTTTGTCATTCTACTCTTATCAATTACACACTTGAATGCATACAGAACAAAAATATAATTGTACTCATTTGATTTGTTAATATTCCGAAACCACAAATATAATGATCAGAAATATGAAAATTGGGACTTACCCAGGAGAAATACATTGAATTTATTTCTACACCTGAATGCTCACTTTTCTTTCAACAAAATGAACAAAACTAATTCAGATAAACATTACTTCAGAATGATAAATAAAAAATAAAAAATAAAAAAAATAAAAGAAAAAAAAAAAAAAGAAAAATCGTGAACTATATTATAGCATTTGATTGATCCACAGCTTACTTCTTTCTTTGTAGGATACTAAGATTGCACATGAATCAATAGTCTTTAACAGCTCATGAACAAGTTCAGTGACTTCAGCCAAAATTCAAACAACTGAAGTACTGAATTCAAACAGCTGATGTATTGAACACAAACAGACTTTTGAAGCTTATATAATAATGAGCCAAGCTTGACTGCTTGAGCACCGTGTTCTGCGTATTGATTGAGTTTTATTAGACTAAAAATGTAAGTACTGAGTAATGTGTTCCTAAACAACCTCAAGTGCATTCACTTAAATCAAACAATCAAGCTCGAAGTCTTGAACAACAAATTCGAGCTGGACTCGACGCCTGGACCTCAAATTAAATTAGAAGAACAAACATACACACACTAATAGTCTAAAAAATCGACTCAGCTCATTTACACTTTTGCTTCTAAACGCATCAAAATTTAAGATCAATAGTATTATTATCACCAATTCCAAATCTCAAATACTAAATTAACCACACAAGCACACAACTCCCGTGCAATAACAACCAATTAATTTCCAAATTAAGAAATACTCCATACAATTAATACACAACATAAAAAACCTAATCCAACAAACTACCAAAAAAATTCAAAAATTTAAATATTTCTCCAGAAATTAAACTCAAATTAATGCGATTTTAATAACAACACAAGATCAAAAATTCAAGTCACTGAAACTTACACTGTCGCCGCCAATGCCGGCGGCCTAGGTGCAGGATGTACAGCTCGTTGAACAGCCTGAACCGGCGATTGATGAACCGGAGCGAGTAAATTCGGCGTAAAATCCAATTGCCGAGCTAACTTCTTCGGCGCAAATTCCGATGATGATGAAGACGGTGCCGCCGCCGTTACCGCCGCCATTTCTCCTATTTCCATACCAAATTACCTCCAAATTTCTCAATTTCTAAGCCAAATTCTTCAAATTATTCCGATTGTAAACCAAAACATCCAAAAATTTCACAGATTTTCCTCTTTCTAATTTAGCAATTACAGAAAACCTGAAACCTCAAAAACTGGAAAACGTCGGAAAAACAGCTCCGACAGAATCAGCGTATTCCGACGCAATAAAAACCGCCGGAGAAGACGGAAAAATTTGTTAAACGGCGTCGTTTTGATGCCGGTGATGAGAGAGATTGAGGAGAGAGAAAGTGAGTTTTAAGTGGGCATGGCATTTCCTCCCTCTCAGAGTGTTATACATCCCTGACCTTTTGAAATTCAATTTCGGCGATTTTTGACGGTTGGATCACCACTTTAAAGATCCAACGGTGTATCTTGAAAGAATTAGATCTACGGCTTTAAATTACGAAGAATTTTGGAAAGAGAATTACTGGCCGTTGGATTTGAAAAAAAGGCCGAATTTTTTTCCGGGAAAATGACGTCATGCTGTTGTATTTTTTATGGTTTTTGAAAATTTAAAGGGATATTTAATTAAAGAAAAATCATACAAATTTGGCGCTAAATGTGCTAGAGTTATAGTACACGTGGAGGGTATTGATTAGTGGGAACAGAATAAATCTCTTAGAAAAGATGATAATTATTCTTCTTTTATTTTTTAACTTATGAAAATGAATTTGAATTTTCAAATGGGGGAAACGACGTCGTAGTGATGATGCATGATTTTGAGAGTTTTTTTTTTTTTTTTTTGACTCGTGGGAGTTATAAGTGGGGTCGAAATATTTTGTCGTTGACTGAAAAAGCCAACTGTTTGCTGAAATAGGGTACTCCTTAATAAAGAGTTTTCAAGCTACTATGGCGGAATTCAGCCAGGGTTTGTGGGCCTGGTTCATTCAATCATATAGTAATATTAACCATTATTTATTCATTTTTGGGTGTGTTAATCTGAATCGGTTTTTGCACACCCCTAAAACTAGCCGCCTAGTCGGAAGTAAATGGGTCGGACGGGTTGGGTTTAATTACTACTCCGTAATGTATTAGTTATAGTTAGGTTGTACACGTATTTTTTTTTAACGTTAAGATACGAGGTGCCCCTCCTATCACAGGAGAGGTGCTGGAGTGAGGATCGAACCTCAATCACACCAGGGGGAGATGAAGAGACTAACCATCCCTCCACTCCTTGATCTTCAGTTGTAAGCGTATATTGTTAAGTAAATTTGATCTCATTTTTAAATGTATTTAGCCCTAATTCTAAGTTTTGGTTTTGGGTGTATTTAAAGCTTCAATTAAATAAAGTTACTCAAAGCTATTGTATACCCATGGTTCATTTGATCGTGTAATCATATTTTACATTACTTTTTGAGTGTGATTGTTCAAATCAGTAGGTTGGTCAATTTGGGTTTGATCAGCTACTATACCCATTTGGGATAGTTTCACGTTAATTAATTTAAATCATATATTGAATAGGGTTAAATCTTGATTTTAAATTGTAGCTTTAGGTCAACCTAACGAGCTAAGGAGGTTTTGTGATTCTTAAAGCTTCAACTAAATCTAGAATTAAGATAAACTTGCTCATATCCATTAAGCCTAAATCTGATTATAATGAGATTAGGAGGGGAAAAATTACCTCAAGCAAAGGTTTAACCATAATTTGCAACAAAATTAGAGTCGAAACAGAACTAGTTAGAGATTAAATTGGTATAATAATTGTTATCTAGGTCAAGTCACAACCCCTAAAAAGAGTCACACCTATATGAGCATGAAAGTAGCAATCCTAACCCACCCAAATTGGATTGCTAGTCTTTATAATAGCTCAAATTTGCATATTAAAATACTTACTCTGTTCTTTTTAATCGCAGTGTTTCACTACAAGAATTAAGCTTATTTTCGACGGAAAATACGTCCGTCGAAAATATTCCGTCGCAAAAAGGCATATTTTCCGAGGGAAAAGGGTCCGTCGGAAAACTGGAGCATTTCCGACGGAATTATCCGTCGGAAAATTTCCGAGGGAAAGAGTCCGTCGGAGAAACCCTTTCCCGACGAAATTCCGACGGAAATTTCCGTCGGAAAAAGGTTGAACCTGGGATATCCTTTTCCGACGGAAATTTCCGTCGGAAAGTCCGTCGGAAAATGGTTCTGCGCATAGGATACCATTTTCCGTCGGAAATTCCGTCGGAAAGTTTTCGGAACTAAAAACCAGAATTGCCTAATTTCATTTCGATTTTCCCGAAAGTTTTTCACGCCTTCACCTTCCTCCACCTTTGTTCTTCACGCCTTCACCTTCCTCCATTGAAGCTCCAAGCTCCATTTTTCAAGCTTCTTTCTTCCTCAAGCTTCATTCTTCATCAAGCTCCACCACCTTCAACCCACAACCAAAAAATCCGGTTAGTTTTTTTTTATGTTTATGTTAATTTATTAGTTTAACTTTTAATATGTAATGTTAATGTTAATGTTAATGTTAATGTAATGTTTATGTTAGTTTATTAGTTTAATTGTTAATATAATGTAGGTTGATTATTGATATGTTAATTATGTTTTTATGTTAGTTTAATTAAGTTTAATTTTTAACATAATGTATGTTGGTTATTGATATGTTAATTATGTTTTTATGTTAGTTTAATTAGTTTAGTTTATTAGTATAATGTATATGTTAGTTTAGTTTAGTTTAGTTTAGTTTAATTTAGTATAATGTATATGTTAGTTTAGTATAATGTATATTAGTTAAGTATAATGTATGTTAGTTTAGTATAATGTATATTAGTTAAGTATAATGTATGTTAGTTTAGTTTAGTTTAGTTGAATTTATATTAGTATAATGTATGTTATTAGTTTAGTTTATATTATTATAATGTATGTTATTAGTTTAGTATAATGTATGTTAGTTTAGTTTAGTTTAGTATAATGTATGTTAGTTTAGTTTGGTATAATGTATGTATGTATGTTAGTTTAGTATAGTTTACTTTAGTATAATATATGTTAGTTTAGTTTGGTATAATATATGTATGTTAGTTTATTTTCGTTTAGTTTAGTATAATATATGTTAGTTTAGTTTGTTATAATATATGTATGTTAGTTTAGTTTCGTTAAGTTTAGTATAATGTATGTTAGTTTAGTTTAGTTTAGTATAATGTATGTATGTTAGTTTAGTTTAGTATAATGTATGTATGTTAGTTTAGTTTAGTATAATGTATATATGTTAGTTTAGTATTTCAATCTTCTAAATATGTGTGAAATGAATATATACCTGTTCAAGTTAGAATCATGAAACGAAGAGAGCGGAGCTGGATGTATGATAGATTGGATGGGCGTTCTATTAAGCCTGAGTTCTTGAAAGAGGTAGAGGAATTCATACAGTTTTGCGAAGATCATCGTGAGACTGCAAAGAATGAATATAGGTGTCCTTGTGTTAAATGCAATAACAGACGTTTTCAGGATCCGGACACAGTAAGAATTCATTTGTACAGCAAGGGATTCACTCCTCGTTATTGGGAGTGGCTGTGTCAAGGGGAAGGGTTACTTGAATCCTCAGTAGAAGGCCAATCAAATGAATATCATGATATGGTTATGGATGTTGTTGGTCATAATTATGATCGATCGGGTACTGAAGAGGAGGAGCCTAACGCTGAAGCAAAGCGTTTTCTTGATTTGTTGAAGACGTCTGAACATCCATTGTATGAAGGGAGTTCGATGTCGGTTTTGGAGGTGGCGGCAAGAATTACTAGCTTAAAGTGTGAGTACAATTTGCCGCACAGGTGTGTTGATGGGTTCGTTTCATTGTTGACAGAAGCGATCCCTGGCAACAGCCGGTTGGGTGAGACATTCTACGATGTTAAGAAGGTTATTAAGGGGTTGGAGCTGCCGCATGAAAAAATTCATGCATGCCCAAGGGATGTATGTTGTTTTGGAAAGAGGATGCTGAGCTTCCTACATGTAGAGTGTGTGGCAGTGATCGATACAAAAGAACTTTCAAAGGCAGCTTGGTTCCAAAGAATGCGCTATTTTATTTCCCGATCACATCTAGGTTGCAAAGGATGTTTGCAACGAAGAACATTTCAGAGGAAATGAGTTGGCATGCAAATAATCCTCGTGTCAAAGGCACGATGGCACACCCTAGTGACACTGAAGCTTGGAGACAGCTTGATACCTGCTTCCCAGAGTTTGCCTCGGATCCACGGAATGTTCGACTAGGGCTGTGTACAGATGGTTTTGCTCCTCATGGTAAGTTCGGGGGTCAGTACTCTTGTTGGCCCGTGATTTTGACCCCCATACAATTTTCCTCCCTCAATGTGTATGAAAAGGCAGTTCATGTTCTTGTCGCTGATAGTCCCTAGTCCCAAAAACCCGAAGGGAAATTTAGATGTGTACATGCAACCACTGATACAAGAGCTGAAACAGTTGTGGGAAGTTGGCGCAAGTACTTATGATATATCAAAGAAGCAAAATTTCAATTTGAGAGCAGCCATCCTATGGACCATTAGTGACTTCCTTGCATATGGTATGTTGTCTGGATGGTCCACGGCTGGTAAGAAGGCTTGCCCGTACTGCATGGAAAAAAGCAAGGCATTTTGGTTGCAGCATGGTGGAAAAGTTTCGTGGTTTGATTGTCATCGTCAATTTCTTCCTGCAGATCATCCTTTCCGAAAAAGTAAAACAACATTTTGCAGAAATAGAGTTGAAAAAGGCGCACCGCCGCACATCATGTCAGGGGCGGAACTTTGGGAGTGTGTGAAAGACCTTCCGAGGGCCATGGATGGGCCCGAATCACTGCAAGAGTTGAAAAAGGAAAAGAAAGGGTGGTTCAAGCAAAGTTGCCTGTGGGAGCTTCTGTATTGGAAGCATTTGCTGATTCGTAACAACTTAGATGTCATGCACATTGAAAAAAACTTCTTGATCAAATCTTTCACACTGTAATGGATGTGAGAAGACAAACTCCTGACACACCTTCGGCCAGAAAAGACATTGCCAAATATTGTAGGCGACCTCAACTTCATCTACAGGCTGATGACAGAGGGAATGAGGTCATGCCAAAGGCCCCATTCTGCCTCGATAAGGGTCAAAGGAAGGTTTTGTGTGAGTGGGTTTGTGACTTGCGATTCCCTGACGGTTACGCCTCCAATTTGAGCAGATGTGTGGATTTGCAGGCGTGTAGAATACACGGAATGAAAAGTCATGATTGTCACGTGTTCATGGAGAGGTTATTACCTGTCGCATTGAGAGAATTGCTCCCTGTTCATGTCTGAAATGCAATTACAGAGATCAGTCAATTCTTTAGAGACTTGTGTTGCTACACAATCACAGTCAGTGACATG